AAAAGGGGTCTAAATGGAACTGACAGGGGCAAAAATGGAACTGGCTGGGGGCTGAAGCTGGAGGTCATTGCCACCTCTGAATAAAGCATGTCTACTGTCCTAGCTGCTTCTTGCATCTTCTACCTGCCTGGATCCCAAATCTATTTCCTGAGTCTGAGCCTCAAAACAACAAAGGGCATAAAGGGAACAAAGTAGGAGAAGCTGAGTATTTTTTCCCCCCTGTGTCACCTCAGGCTACTGATCTTTTGTTTCACTCCTTAATAGAAACCCATATGTCAGGAAACCTGTCTCGGATATAAAACAAGAGGAGAAAAATAATGAAGGTAGCCTAGGCAGTGAGCTGACCTACTGCCATCTTTCTACATGTCAGAGCTGGTGAGCTCAGTCCACTGGCCTCCTGGCCAGTTTTCAGTCTACTTTTTCACGAGCTCCTTCTAGTTAGTTAACAGGTCAGAAGCAGCTCTTGGGTCTGTTATGCATAATAGAAAGTCCAATTGATAAAGCTAAGAGATCTTCCCCATCAAAGACTGAGCATTCTAATCCTTATAAGTTTTTTTCCAGTTTGGGTACATCATTGAAAGTATTTTCCTAAGGAAAGTAAGGTGTTGGGGGTTTTATTGAATTGATATTTCAAAGTTATTAAAAAATTTTAAATTTTATAGTTATTAGATTTGAAAATGTTTCATTTTATTTTCTCTTGAAATCTTACTATTATTTTCATCTGTTGAACCTCATTTACTCCCATGTGTAATAAGGAATTATAACAAAAATAAACAGAATGCACATTTTCCTGAAGTGTATCATATTTGCACATCAATTTTAAGGTGACCAGGAAGCAAAATTGTATTTTTACGACACTGGCCTCAAGTCTACATCTTTATTATTGCCACTAACACCTTGAACAAATCCCACCACATCACCAATTCCCTTCTCCAAAGCAAAGAACATTTTGTTTTATTATCCTTTATCCCAAGCTGAGCACTAGAATATCACTTTGATTAGGTTTCAACAAGTTTATATAACTTCTGTGAATGACCTGTTTCACTGACAACTATGCACTGTCTGAGAATGTTCTGATCATTCAAAGGAAGAAGAAAGCTAATTAAAATTATAATGAATACATAGGGCTGGGGTTGTGGCTCAGCGATACAGCACTCACCCAGCAAGTGTGAGGCCCTGGGTTCAATCCTCAGTACCACATAAAAATAAATAAAATAAAGGTATTGTGTCCAACTACAAGTAAAAATTAAATATCTTAAAAAAATTATAATGAATCAATAGAGTGGGAGTAAACTTTTGGAGCTATAGAGAGACTCATGGCATAAAAGTAATGTCGGTTGCACGGACCTATACTTATCTCAAAACCCATAAGGTTGTATGCATCCAATAGATACAGCTTTCTGTATGCCAATCACCCCTCCATAAAATGGTTTAAAAACCAAATTAATTATGGAATAGCACAGAAACACATGTTACTTTGATCAAAATTATCCAGCAAGTCTGTCTCAGTTTTCAGCTTGAAACTGAGAAAACTAACAGACAACAGGGTCCAGGCCTCAGATCAGCTATACAGTTAACAAGTTTTTCCAGAATGATCATTGAAATGAAATATGGAGGTCAGTTCTGAGGCCCCACATAGAGCACAGAGCCAAACCTCCAGTTGGGAAATTGTTGGGGAGCCCTGGACTCCCTGAATCTTCACAAACCAGGATTTTGCTTTCCTTGCTAACAGACATCTGGGGCTTTCCCCTTTATGGTATATTTGGTGACATTTTCATGAAGCAAAAAGTCTTACTAAGCTAACACTCTCTGCAATATGTGATGAATCAAGACATAAAAGGAACACATGGCGTCCTCGTGGAAAGATCACAGACTTATGCCAGGGCTAAGAAGACTCTGGTTGCAAAAGGAAAGCACAGTGAACAAAATTGTGCTGTCTTAGCCAACGGAGGTGTCACGCTCAGTCATCAATTTTACTTAGTTGTCAAAACCATGTACTTAATGTCTAAAAGTGCTGACCAGTAAGACAAAAGCAAATAGAGGGAGATCACATGCAAAGAATCACAACTTCAATACTAACAAAATTAAATGAAGCCATTACAGACTAGTCTCAGTTATGATCTGCAGGGATCCCACTTATAATCTATTTCTAATAGATCAATAAACATTTCTAGAGGGCCTTTTAAGTGCTGGGGTTATAAATGAACTAGCTGCAGCTCTTGGCCTTGGTGAGCCCATGATTTTAGGGAGATCCACTAGAAGAATCGTCGAGCATTGGAGGAGCAATGGGGTAGCCTTTGACAAATCTGGGCAAGCTTCTTGGGGAAGGTGACTCCTTGAGACAGGAGCTAAATTTGGAATATGCAGTCAATGATGAGACAGGGAAACCAGGAAACCACTGCACCAAGGTGCTAAGCTAAAACACATCTTGAGCTTGTCAAGAGCTGTGATCTGTTGGAGCAAAATGGAGTCTCTGTGTTAGGATGTGCTGAGTTGGGGGAGAAGTCGGGTACACATAGGGGAAGTTCTTTCCAAAGATCTTAATTTTTATCCTGCAAGCACTGGGGAACCACTGACTTGTCATACTTTGAGGTGGAACGCCTCACAGTGGAACTCCTCACAGTGGACTTGCCCAATAACAGGGTCCTAAGACTGGAACTAAATGCAATTTAACCTTCCTTCTTTGTGCCCAACCTTGTAGTCAGCTTTCCAACTGGTGCACATATCTGGACCTCTGTTTCTCTGGCTGTAAAATGGCAACGTGTGTCTATAAGTTTCAATCAGAACATGCAAATCATTTAGCCTACAATGTAAGTGATTAGTGAATGTAAGATATTATTTCTATTATTATTGTGATGGTTACTACCTAGATACTATCATCAGGAGCATGTTTTTTTTTCCCATGGAGAACTTGACAGAACTTTTACATTGAACTTTATGGGCTTGGGACATGGCACTTATGAGGACAGGATAAAACCAGAAAGACTTGAGCTACTTAGAACTACAGAACCTACACACAGCCCTTTGAGGGAGGACCTATGTCTCTAAGGGACTCCAGGGAAGTAGTATCAATGGGGTAGACTGTGGAAATCCATTTATGTCAACAGTTCAGCTTGAGAACAAATGCAATCAATTCCAGTTCTCCACTATACTATTAAGGGAGTAAGAGTAGGAGGTTCAATGTTCTGG